ATCTTATTTATCAAATACCTTGTTTATCAAACATGTTGCCACTTACCTAAATTCTCTAGAAGCTTAGTGTTGAACACTTGGCAAAGACATAAATACTTACGTTTAAATCTCTAAGTCAGCTTTTGTTAATCTGAGTAGACCTTTTGTAACCGTAAATTTTTATCACCATATAGAGTGTATTCTAAACCAGAGTTGAATCACATATACAGTATTTTGTGAAAATCTAACCTTATATTTCTATTATCATACTAAAGTCCATACCAACTCCAAATGTTTGAGACTTGTTGCTTTTCTTCCTCATCTGCCTGCCTCTCTCAAGTCTCCACTGTTCTGGCGGATGCTCCACCTCACCTTCCCTCCCCCAACCTCTCTCCCCAGACCCTGCCCCTCAGAAAGCCCCACAGCTCCTCCCCCAGAGATGCTCAGGACCACTCCCACAGGGTATTTAAACTGCACCCCAGAAAACAGATACGTGGTTTTTCGGTCTCTCTTCCCAGTCCCCTCTCTGGGGGGCTGGGAAATCATCCGGCAGCACTTTACCTGTTAAATTGGGGTTTTTTCTTAATTTGGTTTGGTTTGGGCTGGTGTGGATTGCTGCGTCAGCGGAGAGGCTTACGGGGTACAGAAACTTTTCACCCACTCCGACACAGCCTTTCATCCTTTCGCTCTTCACTCCCATTCCCCCAATAAACCTCTTGCACCAACTCTGTTGTGTGTTTGCTCAGTGGCACGGCTTGGCAGGGCTGGCTGAAAGGTGCCCACTTCATGCTCGTACCAGGGCTTGCAGACGAGGCCACAGAAGAGAAACGAGAGAGGAAAGAGGCAGAGAGGGAATTAGAGACCGAGAGGTAAAGAGGCAAAAAGAGCAAGCTGTGCCTGGCGGGCAATTTTGAAGGGCGCACGTGTCGGGTAGCTGACCGCGGGAAGGCACCTGGCAACGGGTGGTGGCCTACTGATTGCCAGCAGAGGCAGGCTGCTGTCCCTGAGGGAACTAACATTCCTCTTTGAGAGTTCACTTAAGGAAAAGGGGTCATGCGTCTTTAGCCAGGCCATCCACCCCAGCTACCTCCCACAAAGGGGGAACTGTGGCCGGGTTAGGCTGGGTGGAGAGAGATGGAGGGGGCCCCACAGCGGGGCGGGAGTGGGGAACGGGGACTGAAGGCTGCTGGTGGGGTGAAGGTGGGCGCCAGATTGGGACGGTGAGAAAGGACTGTTGCAGAAGAGGAGGAAGAGGAGACTGAAGGAGCTGGAGGGGGAGATCGGTAAGGTGGAGCTCATTAGGGTCAAGAGCACTGGAGGGTTCCTCTGTTTCAGGCTTCATAGCTACTAGGAGCTGAGTGGAGGCACAGGAAGAACAGAGGGAAGGCTTGGACATAGGGTACCTCCTTCCATCTACCTGATCGCTGGCAGAAGTTGCAAAGGTCCCGTCATAATATCGGGACCTTAGGGTGTCTGGAAGCGGCCACTTGGATTGATAGCGAAGGGGCATTGGGGCCAGATTTGACTGCAAAGGTAGATAGGTTTAGAAGCCCTTAAGTCAGGTGCCAGGTGTAGAGGTCTGAGGTTTTCCAAAAGGCATCCCATGGGTGGAGCTTGGAAGTATGATGGAGGATGCAATTTCCATGAGTGAGGAGGTAGAGGAAGAAAATCCAAAGCCTGAAGGTCAGGTGTCCCAGGGATCCAGAGAGGATCGGATTGTGGGTACAACTGTTCATTCAGTCTGTTGTCATGCAAGAACCAAGGGCTTTGAACCCAAGTGAGACATGGTTGCCTGGTACCAGGGCTTGCAAACGAGGTCAAAGGATGAGAAACTGCTCGAGATTTTAAGCTCCACTCATGGGAAATGGCCAGAGGTGAGTGTGAGTGAAAAGAGTCAACTGTAGCCTTAAAGATTGGTTGGAGGTTCCTCTGCCTCCAAGAATACCAGAGAGGTGCCTGGCTCAACAGACACCCCTGCGGACCCAGGGAAGGGTTGACGCCAGCCCTTGGCACCAATGTAATAGTTTATTGGAGGAAGGTGACCTTGGTGGGTTGGAGGCAAGGAGCACCAGAGTCACCCCATGCAACAGAGCTCGCATGGAGGTTTGTTGGGGGGAGGTTTATGGGTGTGTGTGTGTGTGCAGAAGCAGCCTCTGAGGGATAGCAGAAGGGAAGAGAGAGGGCTGGGAAAACCCTGCCTTTTATAAGGGGATAGATATGGTGCTTGCACGTAGGGAGAGTGCTCAACTTGGTGGCTTCGGTGGCGTCACATCTTGGCTGCTGCTGCTGCAGAAGTGCCCTGCTAGGTCCCCAAGAGCAGGCCAGTGTAAATGCCTGAATGCTAACCGTTGTTTGTAAATGTGAGGTGGGGCCGGAGGGGCTCTGGTTCTCAGTACAAAGCCTTCCTCCTATGCGGGTATAAATGAGTTCCTGGTGGTACTCGAGTCTAGTGTGAAGGCAGGCACAGTCAGACCCCAGCCTGTACTAGCAGGAGACAGTCTCCCTCAGGGAGGGAGGGAGGATTCTCATGAGCTCGTCTGCAGAGCTCACGGCTCTGTAAGTGCCACTCTGGGGCACTGGGCCCTGTTAGAGGCATGCCCAGCAGTTTGCAATGCGGTCACACACACACACACACACAGGAGGACTTTAGAACTTAGTATTTCAGTCATCCTTCCTTAAGTTCATCTTATGATAAAAATGCTTGCTTAACATAGAACCTATTTAAGTTGAAAGATGTTAACAACATGTGATTTGCATACTATTTATAGAAAATCAATTTTAGAGTATTTGGTTTAATTTTACCTCAGATTGTCTTGTGTCTCCCCTACCGAATGCTAATGGAGTGTTTGTGTGGGGTCCTTGTTTTTGCTTCTAAATTAAGTTTGGCAAAATAGTATCATAAAAATTTCAGCCTTGGCTGTTCTCCAAGTATTGAGGTTCCTGGCCATCACTGTTCACATTGTGTGGGACCAACCTTCATAATGGCACCTGAGTTCATTCCTTCCTGTCAGCCTCTCCCCTCTGCTCCCACTTCCCACTGTTTTACTTCTGCCTCAAATTTTGACTCTTCTGGGTCCCCTCGGGACTGGAAGCGTTCCTTGCACTTGGCCTTCTGCGTCTGACTTACTTCACTTGCAATACTCTTGAGGTTCATCTGTGTTACAGCGTGAATCATATCTTAGTTACTTTCCTCCTGCTGTGAAAAGCACCAAGGCAGCTTATGAAAGACAGCATTTAATTTGGGGCCCACGGTTCTAGAGGGTTAGAGTCCATGACCATCATCTCAGGGAACATGGCAGCAGGTGGCAGGCATGGTGCTGGAGCGGGAGCCGAGAATTCACATCTGATCTGCAAGCATGAGGGAGAAATAGAGATGGAGCTAATGGGAGTGGCTTGGGCTTTTGAAAGCCCCCAGTGGCACCTCCTCTAACAAGGTACACCTCCTAATCCTTCTCAAACAGTTCCTTCCACTGGGGACCAGTTGTTCAAATATATGAGCCTATGCAGGCCATTCTCATTCAAACCACAAGTCAGAACCCTTTTTTTTTTTTTTTTTTGAGACAGGGTCATTAGCCCAGGCTGGCCCTGAATTTACTACGTGTCCAAGGGTGGCATTGAACTCCTGATCCTTCTGCCTCTGACTCTTAGTGGTGAGACCGTAGCTGTACACAAGGACTGGGGGCAGAACCCAGGCCCTCATGCATGCCAGGGAAGCACCTCAGCCACTGAGCCGCATCTCCAGCCCAGTGTCCTTTTTTTCTTTTTCTCTTTCTTTTTTTTTCCCCACTTTGGTTTTTCGAGGCAAAGTTTCTCTGTGTAGTTTTGGTGCCTGTCCTGGAACTCACTCTAGCCCAGGCTGACCTGGAACTCACAGAGATCATCCTGGCTCTGCCTCCCCAGTGCTGGGAATAAAGGCATGCGCCACTGCCGCCTGGCTCCAGTATCCTTCTTTTAAAGACTGAGTAATACTCTACATGCATAGCTCACATTTCATTTACTCACATACTGGTAGCTTTGGAGTGTTGCCGGGCGGTGGTGGCGGCGCACGCCTTTAATCCCAGCACTCAGGAGGCAGAGCCAGGCGGATCTCTGTGAGTTCGAGGCCAGCCTGGGCTACCAAGTGAGTTCCAGGAAAGGTGCAAAGCTACACAGAGAAACCCTGTCTCGAAAAACAAACAAACAAACAAAAAAGAATGTAAGAGTATAATCCCAAATGTGGAATGGCTGAATTACATAATCTCTATCACCACCACCACCACCACCACCACCACCACGACCACCACCACCACCTCTTCTTCCTCCTCCTCCTCCTCCTCCTCTTCCTCCTCCTCCTCCATCCCCAGAATGTTTCTCCATGTCGCCTTGGCGGTCCTGGAACTTGCTCTGTGGACCAGGCTGGCCTTGAACTCACAGATCTACCTGCCTTTGCCTCTTGAGTGCTGGGATTAAAGGTGTGCACCACCACTGTCCAGCAATTTCAAGGGTTCTAAGCCTTCTACATCTTTCCCTGTGGTTACTAGTTTATAACTTTTTGTTGTTTGAAGTTTAGCTGAGCCTTCTTGCTGATACTGTAGTACCAAAAACTAGCTCTGAAGTGAGTAATGCGCTGTGTTACAGAGTTCTGGGTGCTACCCAGTGCCCTGCATCCTGTTCCCTTCCTAGAGAGAAGCGGCTTCGCCCAGCCTCAGTACCGCCATCTGTTCCTCCTGTCAGTGCACACAGGGGAGAGGCAGAAAGTTGGTTGCTTTCCTGGGAATTGGATCATGAAGCATGGCGCTCTCCCTAGAGAGCATGTCACTGGGCCTGGCCATCATCTGGGTTTAGTTGGGATGTGATGCTAAACTAATTTTATGGAAATGACACAACGTGGAAAGTTAAGCATGTATCTTCTCTTAAAGGAAAAGAGTTTGGGCAGATATGAAGCTCTGAGTGCCGTGGGCTGGGCTGGATCCCTGGGGATGCGTGGAGAATCGGTCATGGCGGGTTTCCCACATTCACTTTCTGGTGTTTCTCTTGTGCAGGAATCATGGCCCAAGTAGCGATGTCCACACTACCTGCTGAAGATGAGGAGTCCTCGGAGAGCAGAATGGTGGTGACGTTCCTCATGTCTGCCCTGGAGTCCATGGTGAGACACTGGTTGTTCATTGTTGCATAGGATTGGGCTTCTAGACAAAACGCTTGTGTTCCTATGAAACATTAATTTAATTAATTATTTTTATTGCATTGCTGGGGATTAAACCTAGGACATTGCCTTTGCTAGGCCAGCACTCGACTGCTCTGCAGCACCCTAGGCCTTTTTAAAGCCAGCTGACCATGCACTTTTTGATCATTGTGTCTCAGTTGCTCCAAAATGCTAGGATTATGGTAGGCAAGCCCTCTACCAACTGAGCCACATCCTCCCACTCCAAGATTTGAGCTTTCAAGTCGTATTTTATTGCTGTGTGTTCGAACATTATGTTGCTGGGGGAAGCTAGGCGTGGCTCCAGCATTGTGCTATATCCTACACATCTTGGCCCTCAGATTCTTAAAAATACTTGATCTCAGCTGGGCGGTGGTGGCGCACGCCTTTAATCCCAGCACTCGGGAGGCAGAGGCAGGCGGATCTCTGTAAATTCGAGGCCAACCTGGTCTACAGCGCGAGTTCCAGGACAGGCTCCAAAACAACACAGAGAAACCCTGGCTCAAACACACACACACACACACACACACACACACACACACACACACACACACACACACACGCAAAATCTCACTGGAGTAGCTTTAGAAAAGTCAATCAGAAACTGAGTAGGACCCTAACGTTTGGAAACCAAGGCAGGAGGATCTTGTGTCCTAGCATAGTTTGGGCATATAATGAGCCCTATTGCAGTATACCAAGAAATACTCCAAAGAAGCAAGAAATCTTAGGAGTGGAATTGCAGAGTGGCCGTATGAGGGGGCCTCAGGTCTCCTCTCAGGATGGTGGCACTAATTCTCTGGCTGCTCTTGACCAGCATCACCTCAGTGGGTCTAGAGTCCCAGTCCTTCCCAGTGTAGCAGCAGCGACCCTTTGGACCCTGCTCTGCCGCCGCAGGCCTCGCACGTGCAGGTCTGCAGATCTGAGCCTGTTCCTGAGGAGTCGGACTTCAACCCACAAAGGATTTCTGCTTTTGTGGTTGTTCTTATTTTGTTTTGTCTTTGGTTTCTAGACAGGGTTTTTCTGTGTAGTTTTGGTGCCCATCCTGGATCTCGCTCTGTAGACCAGGCTGGCCTCCAACTCACAATATTAAGATGAGTTTAGATTGTTAGTGTTAGATTTTTAGATTTAACTAGAAAGCAATGGTACTTAAATCGCTACGTGTACTCTGACTTTGACTGTTTCGGTTTCAGTGTAAAGAGCTGGCCAAGTCCAAGGCTGAGGTGGCCTGCATCGCCGTGTACGAGACGGACGTGTTTGTTGTTGGAACTGAGAGAGGACGTGCTTTTGTCAATACCAGAAAGGATTTCCAAAAAGATTTTGTAAAATATTGTAAGTGGAGTGTTTTTATCTTGTGTAGCTTGTACATTTTAAATATCATTATTTCTGGATAAGACGTCTCAGACTTTGAAAGAGTGAGTTATGCCAGAAAGAGACAAGAGACGTTCTGACTTGTTTGTAGGCGTGGTTGGGGACAAGTCACCGAGGTGGTCACATCAAAGGAAGTATGAGGAGGGTGCTGGCAGGTGTCTGGGCTAGCTGAGTGCATTTGCTGCAAGAGTGGACGGGAGCTGAACAACTCTGGACGATAAGACCAAGCTGCAGAGATCGAGGGAGGGCGAAGCCTAAGGCTCCAGGCCTGTTAAGGGACAGACCCTGGCTTGGGTTTTTAACAGGGCTCCTTGGTGTCCCCTTGCCCCTCCTGGTCCTGTTTAGACAGCAGCCTCCAAGCCGCCCCTGCTCTTTCTCTTCACATGGTCTTCTGGGTACAAGAAGCTGGCATCTCAGGGCCTGCCTACCTACGTTCCTCTAACCTCTCTCCTTTCTCCTGCTCTTGGGGGACGGGGTAGTGACCTCTGGCTGCTTCGTGGTGGAGTCTGTGGGTGGGGTGTAGGTCCAAGAGAACGAGCACTCTTATGAGGTGTCTCCTGGGGCAGGTTCAGGTGTGGCCGCATTGTGGTGGGCAATGTCTCTCAGTCTCCATCTTCAGAACCAACTGTAGAAGCAGAGGGAGTGGAGGAGAGAGCGCTAGAGGTTAGTAGAGTGTAGCCCTGTGGGGACATTGTTCCCAGGGAAGTCCTGTATCCCACTAGCCATCCGTCCAGGCTGGTCTCGAGGGATGAGGCCAGGCTCTGCTCTCAGGTATTTTGGTAACTGTTGGAGTGGCTAGCGTCACAGTGTGAGGCCCCTCCATAGGGCTTTTACAGAAGAAGTTTAACCATCAATTGGTCGGCAAGTAGGCCCTGCAGTGTTGAACTGAGCTAAGGCCATGATGTCCTATTATCCGAGTAGCATTTTTCTTATCCAGAAGAAAATCACTAGAGAGAAATAGTTGCCTAAATAACCTCTCATATGGATTTAAGCCTAATGCCCAGGGAATGTGATTCCTTAAACCATTAAAGAAAGATGCCAGTGGGTGGTGGTGGCACACACTTTTAATCCCAGTAGTCAGGAGGGCTACACAGAGAAACCCTGTTTTGGAAAAAACAAATAAAAAAAACCATGCCAACCATTCAACTCCATGGCTATATTTTCCTGCTTGGGTGATAAAGACCACACAGGTAGCAAGTCACATTTATATTTTTTTTACTGTCAAGGTCACTTGAGGATCTGGTCCACAGGATCAGATGGGCTTGAGAGGAACCCCTGTCTCCTCTAGCCTGCCTTTTAGCAGTTGTTCCATCTATGTGAGGAAAGTCAAAGGCCTCACTTGACCGTGGCTTAAAATCAGGGAGGGAACTTTTCTTCTGTATTGACCCTCCTCTGTGTAGATTGGACACTGCTTAGAGCTCACCAGACGGGCTCTCCATGGCCTCTCTAAACGAGAGAACAGGTGACACTACACATCTTTTTTTTTTTTTTCACACAGGGTTTCTCTGTGTACCTCCAGCTGTCCTGGAACTTACTCTGTAGACCAGGCTGGCCTCGATTTTAAGAGATCTGCCTGCCTCTGCCTTCTGAATGCTGGGATTAAAGGTGTGCATCACTATGCCCAGCTGTGACTACCTACAATTATAAAATATTTTGAGAGATGCCCTAGTCCTGGGACCTATTGACTTTGGAAGGCAAGGCAAAAAGTAGTCTCCCTTTTCATCCCTCTGACCACGTTAGTGTAGCCTCTAAATGGCAGTCACACACCCAGAAGGAATTACACCAGTCTGGCCCTTTTTTTTTTTTTTTTGGTTTTTTCGAGACAGGGTTTCTCTGTGTAGCTTTGCGCCTTTCCTGGGACTCACTTGGTAGCCCAGGCTGGCCTCGAACTCACAGAGATCCACCTGGCTCTGCCTCCCGAGTGCTGGGATTAAAGGCGTGCGCCACCACCGCCCGGCCAGTCTGGCCCTTTTAACTACTATGAACTATTTAGATAAAGCTTGGGCAAAAATGAAACAAATAAACTTGGATTCTGTAAGCCAGTCCTTGTAATTGTTACTGAGAGTAGACCAGTGACAGACTTGACATCAGTGTTTTGAACTTTGACCTTTTGTATCCCTTATTTGTTTGTTTGTTTGTTTATTTACTTATTTATGTTTGGTTTTTCGAGACAGGGTTTCTCTGTAGCTTTGGGCCTCTCCTGGAACTCACTCTGTAGCCCAGGCTGGCCTCGAACTCACAGAGATCCTCCTGCCTCTGCCTCCCAAGTGCTGGGATTAAAGTCGTGCGCCACTGCCGCCCCGCTGCATCCCTTTTATAACTTGTTCAGACTCTGGTAATTTGCTTAAGTTTCCCAGCTTTTTTCTCTGGAGAGGCATCCAGCCATCTGTGAGACAGATAACATTAACAAATGAGCAGTCAGCAAGCCTGGCTGTGGGGATCTTTCACAGGTTGCTGCAGCTGACGTCATGGCAGTTGTTTGGCTTGGAAGATAGTGCTATGTAGTACCATCTTAATAAAACCACGTTGGAACTAAACTACACACACGATAAATCAGTAGTACCTGTGTACATACGTAGGTACGTACTGTTAGGGTCTCTTCCCAGGTAAACCTTCGTGAAAACACAAGGCAATCTTTTATAGTACACAGAGTGATCTGCCCTAAGGGTGCTTCAGGTTCTGAAGGGGTGTAAGTAACGGATACCCGAAAGGCGTTTGTTCCTTTGTAAAACCTGATGGCTGACACTGGGAGTCCGGTGACAACCAGCTGGACCCAAGCACCTGGCCGACTTCCTTATAGTCAGCGTAGAGCGTAGATTTTTGCAGATGAGTCTGATCACCTGTTGGGTCTTACATTGGGAATGGCAGGCATTGATAAGCTTTCCTTTCAGAGTCTAACTTTTATGAGGTTATGAGTGAGTGGCACTCTTAGTTACTGTCTCCCCCCCAAAAAAAAACACCATGACCAAGGCAGCTTATACAAAGAAGCATTTAATTGGGGGCCTGCTTAGAGTTTCAGAGGGTTATAGTCCATGATCGGCATGGCAGGGAGAGTGGCTGCATGCATGCAGGCATGCAGGCATTGGTGCAGTAGCTGAGAGCTCACATCTTATCTGCAAGCTGCAGGCAGACAAGAGACTGAGACGGACCGACTGAGATTGGGCCTGAGCCTGGCAGGGGCTTTTGTAACTTCAAAGCCCACCCCCACTGACACACCTCCTCCAATGTGGCCACACCTCCTAATCCTTCCCAAACAGTTCCACCAACTGGGGACTAAAGATTCAATCATGTGACCCTATGGGGGCCGTTCTCATTCAAACTACCACAGCTGGTAAACACCCACGATCAAAAGGAGGGTCGAGCTAATAGAAGTATCTGCCTTTATCTGTGTCTAACCTGACTAGACTTGGGGTGACCAACTGCTTGGAAGCTTGGCACACCCTCTCTTCAGACTGTGCTAATGAGAAGGCTCTGTGGATGTGGTGTGTCCAAACTGCAAGGGAAACGTCCCATGGGATATTGGGTGGTTGCCTCCCTCCCACCTAAAGGTCTGAGGGTCTAATTCTGCCCAGTGTGTGAGCAGCTGAGGGGCGACTTCAAAGAGTCTTGGAACTTGTTTGCCCCGTTTGCAGTGAGATAGAGAAGAAAGAAACTGAAGTCTTGAGCATGGCTTGACCAGTCTGTCAACGGGAAGCAGCTGGTGTGATCTGGTCTCTCCCAGGGAGAGGCCAGACTTTGTAGGATTACCACACCTACCATGGAGGTCTCCTGCCCTCTCCCAGGTTCCTCCTTTAGCCTTCCTTAGGAGTCATATTGTGGTCTTGTCCCCTGGCAATGGAGAATCAGGTCCAGGTCTCCTTGAACTGTTTCCCAAGATATTTATGATAGCACCCATGCTCAGAACACTTGGTTAAAGCACACAGCTCTGACAGGCATTAGAAGCCCCGGTTACTGAATCCACTAAGCACATGCTATGTGATAAGACATTTCTAGGGATCTGTAACTCACCCAGTTTCGTAGAACTGGAGACCACCAGATGCAAACAGGGAGGCAGGTAAGCTCCAGTCCTGTAGGCGTGATCTCGAGCATCTTGGAGAGAGGCACTGCCACTTGCTGGGCTTTCCCAGGGGCGGGGTCTGGAGAGAGAAAGGTATGGCCGAGGTGAGGCTTCCACCTAACCTCTCATCACATTCCTGCCTGATCTCCAGATGGGCAGCCTGAAGGCCTTTGGAGGTGACAGCTCCTGGTAGTGCCAAGTTTCACACCCGTGACATGGCTTGAGTCAAGTGTCTTCCTACCGAAACAAGTTACAAGCAGCTCATGGGTCCTTTTAGACTTGGCGTCAAGGTTTCAGGCACATAGCGGGCCTGCATTTGGCCAGTGCTTCTCTGCCCATTTTCAGCAGCAATGGCTTTTCAGATCCACCTTCCTTATTGTGTCTCACTGACAAGAGGCCAGGAGGTCACGGTTGTAACAAGCAGAACCTGTAACATAGAAAGCAGTCACAGAGAGGGAGATGCCTCAGCGGGAGAGGTCTGCAGCTGTCCCTGGTGGGACAGAGAGTGACTGTGCTCTGATCTCTGCCCAGGCCAGGCCCAGGCCCAGGGGCTGGTTTAGGAGGTGGAAAGGCAGCATTGGGACCAGTGTAACTAGGTGCTGGACCCTTAGGAGAGTCATTCCAGGTGCTCAGGACACAGTGGCCTGATTTGAAGCCACCAGGTTATCTAAGCTGGAAAAGTGACAGCTCTTTACATCCGCAACAGGGAGAAGCCTAGGACTAGGACCCAAGCTGGGTGTTGTATAGGGTCCTGGGTCCTCCCTATCCCCACTGCCCCTCTTTAGATCCCAGAGTGCGGGGATTACAGGAGCGCTGGGGATCGAACCCAGAGCTTCCTGCATGGTTGTCAAGTGCCAGCTGAGCTGTGTTCCCTGCCCTGTTCCCTTGGGATACCGTCTCATGTGGCAGCCCTGGCTGGCCACCAAATCTCCAGCGCTCTCTCACTCTATTTATTTTTATTTTATGTGCATGTGTGTCTGTATACCACATGCGTGCAGCACCCACCAAGGCCGGAAGAGGGCATTGGAGTCCCTGGAACAGGTGTTTCAGAGGGTTTTAAGTTCCTAACGGATGCTGGGAATTCAACCTGTATCCCCAGTCCACCTGCCTCAGCCTCCCCAAGAGCTGGGATTACAGGTGTAAACCACCTAGCCCAGCTAATTTTATTTTTACTATATTTATTTATTTTTGGTTTTTCAAGACAGGGTTTCTCTGTGTAACAGAGCCCTGGCTGCCCTGGAACTCACTCTGTAGTTGTGGAGTTGGCCTGCCTCTGCTCCCCAAGTGCTGGGATTAAAGCCTTGTACCACCGCACCGAGCTCTAAGTTTTTGTTTTTAAATTTCCCCTCATTCCTTTCCTCCCTGAATTTTCATAACGAATTATGTTAGGATGTAGTGCCTGGGCGTGGTGGGTCATGCCTGTAAACCAGCACTTAGAAGACCAAGGCAGAAGGACTACCAAGAGTTCAAGGCCATTGGTGGCTACATTGAAGCAAGGCTAGGTGATTTAGTGGTACCTTATCTCCAAAAGGGAGGAGGGGAGGCAGAAAGTTAGGAAGGCTGGAAGAAAAAGGCGTAATAAAACTATTCTTCCTAAAGGTCAAGTGGTAAGTTGGTGGTTGTGCTAGTTAGTGTGTGTCACCTTGATACTAACCAGTTCCCAAGGAAGAAGGAACCTCACTTGAGTGATTGCCCCCAGCAGATTGCCCTGTGGTCACATCAGTAGGGGCCTTTTCTTGATTGATGATTAATATGGGCGGGTCCAGCCCACTGTGGGCGGCGCCACCCCTGAGCAGGTGGTTCTCAGTTGTCTAAGAAAGCAGGCAGAGAAGGCAGCAAGCAACATCCCCCATGACCTCCGCTGTCACTGCCCTCAGTGACGTCAACGGTTTTCCTGCCATGATGGTGTTTATTGCGGCAACAGAGACAAACTGGGACAGTGGATGTGAGCCTTTGCCCCACTGGTTATTTTACAGGCGTTGAGGAAGAGGAAAAGGCAGCCGAGATGCATAAGATGAAATCTGCAACCCAGCCGAATCGGATGAGTGTGGACGCTGTGGAGATTGAAACACTCAGGAAAACGGTGGAGGATTATTTCTGTTTTTGCTATGGTAAAAGCACAACACTTTGCCATTTAAGAAAAGTGCATTCTATAATGGTATTTCCTTCTTTTAAAAAATTGTGTTTTACAAAAAAAAAAAAAATGGCTGGGGCGGTGGTGGCGCACGCCTTTAATCCCAGCACTCGGGAGGCAGAGCCCGGCGGATCTCTGTGAGTTCGAGGCCAGCCTAGGCTACCAAGTGAGTTCCAGGAAAGGCGCAAAGCTACACAGAGAAACCCTGTCTCGAAAACAAAACAAAACAAAACAAAAAAATTGTGTTTGTGTGTACGCACGTGTGCATTTATGGGTGTGAAGGCCAGGACAACTTGATGGAGTTGGTTTACTCTCAGCTTTGTGTGGATTGGGAGATTGAACTCAGGTTTGTGCAGGAGTTCCTGTCTCTTCCTCTGGGCAGCCTCCCTGGTCAGTAAGATGCATTTTCTTTCTTTCTTTCTTTCTTTCTTTCTTTCTTTCTTTCTTTCTTTCTTTCTTTCTTTCTTTCTTTCTTTCTTTCTTTCTTTCTTTCTTTCTTTCTT